CTTTCAGTGACTGTACAAATTCCAAAATGCATTGCAATGCATATATTTTATGCCCTAAAATCAATCCAATGTGTTTTGATGTAAAAATAGAACACTGTACTGCTGTAATACTTGATAGATAAAAAAGGCTATAAAGTAATAGGAGCAAAGAGCAGATAATAGGGTCTCATTAAGCATCAGCAAATGCAAGTGTCATACTTAAATCATTTAGCAATTATATACTGTACATACTGTTCCTAACTGTCTTGCAAAAAGACATATGATAGCTAGACATTAAGTCACCAATTTCACAACAATGTCCACAAAGACATTGAAGTTCTATATAATACTACTATAACACTCTGACAATGAAAACGGAGTTCATATCCAGGGATTCAGCTGAGGACTGCATCACAAATTGTCAAACCGTGTCTTTATAGTGTACATGAGATTATCTGTGAATTGTGTAGCATTTTTTTTCCATGCATTATACTGTATTTTCAACAGGAAACAAAACTGTAAGTTGATGTTATTGTGTCAGTTCCTTCTAAAAAAAAAGTAAAAATACTCAAGTTTTGAACAAAATTTGAATTTTGTATTTTGATTCATACTAACATACCACTTAATGTGTCATTATGCTGTATAATTGTATTGACCTGCATATTCTCATAGCATAAACATCTTGTGGTGAGGAGCTCTGTTACCTGCATGTTCATAGTATGAGAAGGAGGATGTACGAGTGCTTTAAACAAACTGAAGATACGAGGGGATCAAGTTCTCTGGTTACACGAATGAATTCATGGCATTTACAGGAGAAGGAGCCTCAGAGCTTTCATTTCCTTCGGCAGGTTCTTTCTCTTTTTTACCACTGTACTGTCCAATAAAGGAGCCATCCTCATTGAACTGACCATTTACACCTTCTCCATAGTCAACTAAACTATCATCACTGTCTTCTTTTTTCACAGTTCTGTCTGAAGGTGTCCGGCTTCCTTTTTTTAGAGGTTTATGGTCCTCTGCATCACTGGAGACACAAACAAACAAACAAAAGGAATTAACTGATGCATTATATATTAAGACAAAATCAGCCATGCATGCAGAGTTTATAAAAAGCAAGTGTGCAGCCCTATAATCCTTTAGTAAACCCACATCACATTGTAGAGACAAATCAATATGATGCAGTAGACATGAATACGTGGTGTAGGAATGGTTTAAACATAGAATGTCTTCAGTGGAGGGGGGTGGGGGTGTTTGTGTTTTTTTTGTTTTTTTTTTTTTTTTCTTTTTTCCCCCATCGTGCATGACTTTTCAATGATAAAGCCTGTGCCCTTGGCTTGGAAGCAATTTAGATGCAACTGCAAGCATTAAAAAGTGGGTTGTAAAGTTATAAAAAAAAATTTATTTGTTCTCCAAAGTAACAAGCTCATGATGTGCTGTGAAGTTAGTCTGTTAAACTTCTTAATTTCTTTGATCCTTTGAACATGAATGAGGAATGAATTTGGTTAAATGAAATATACTGATTTTCTTTACTAGTATAAAGAAAATAGAAGTGCTACATTTCAAATAATTTGTTACATTATGCAGGCCAGACTTGCAATTTTCAACCTTACCTTTCAAGAGACCTACATATTCCATTAAAAGGGTGCAGAAGAAACAAATGAAAATAGCCTAAGAAGAAAAGCAAAGTCCATATCCTGATAGTGATCAGTATTTTATCAATAATAATTTGCTCTTAAAATTGCTAAAACATTCACCGTATACAGATAAAGCAACAATTTAGCTTACAGTAGCTACAGTTGAACAGTTAAAAGCATGCTTAATATTTTTCATTACTTATCAGATCAACCTCCTTATCCTAATCCGTAACTAATAACGTGTTCTGACAACAGTGATGGTGATTTGGCAGACAACAGAAAAAGGAAAGGAAAGAAAAGCAGGGAGGAGAGATCCCTGTAGCAAAGTACTGTGGTCTTTCTCTTGTCAGGGGAAAAGCTGCAGCACCATCAGCATCCCCAAACAAATGTGCAGCTGTGTTAAGTGTGTGTTTCATTAAATAGATGTAGTTGGGCTCTTTTCAGAATCCTTTACACTGCACTTCAGTTTCAAGATGAAGATTTCAGCAGCAGCTCTAAAGCATTTCCAATTAAAAACCACTATTGCCAGCTGCACTTTTGGGTGCAATTATTTACCTTGTCTTAAACAGAACATGTGACTTTATTTGCATATAGGGTACAAGAGAGTAAGTGATTTTTGGGTTTTTTTTTTTTTGTTTAAAGACTCCCAGCTATGGAAAAATATAAAGAAACATGCATCTAATATCAAGGAAATAAAAATATATTTACAATATCCACAATATTAGGCTGAATATAGATTCAGCAAATAAATTTCACTGTGTATTTCCTAAAAACAAATACATTAGTTCTTCCAATAATTATTTTTTTTTTCTAATTAATATCTTTGAACACACAGAGAAACCATATATATAGTGCACATACAAGGTCACACAGATTATATTGTTAGCTAACAAATGATCTGTTCAGAAACATTTCACTCTTGCTAGAAAACCATTACACCAATTTTCCATCAAGCTGCTTCTCATCTCATGACCTTTTTTGGAAGACTCCAAGTTATCTCATTCTAAAAGAAATACATCTCTAATATGCATATACGGACAGAAGAAGCATATCAGAGATTTTATTCTTTTATGCATACACAAGAAATAAGTGGTAGGAATATCTACCTTATTAACATGTAAGAAAACCTTCATGTTTAAAATATACAAAGGCAAAAACTCTAAACTTGACCGTATCAGTCCTGACTTTGTTTTTAGTTATTGCTGTGTATTTGGCATGAGGATAAATATGGTATCATTGAACTTCTGTACTCACTGATATTGCAAACATAAAGGCTAGCAACATTTTAAAGAATGCTACTCCAAAACGTCAAGCATCCAGCAGCAAAGTGCAAATGTTTATAACACTGCAAACACAAGTAGAGACATTACTGAAGAGAGTTCATTCTGGAAGGACCCTATATTTGAAAGGTTGAAGACAGAACCGAGTATTTATCACATGCAGTGCAGTTTTTCCACTGCCCTCATCAGAGGCCATTAGAGTCACTATAACAGGTCATACAAACCAAATGAAGCCCAGACCCTCACTTTGAAGTAGTACCAGGTCCCACTCCTGAAGAAGAACGACCTGCAGTGTTTAATGCTTTCTGGGCAATAGCATTTAGTAAAGAACATTACACATATGGTTTGCCGTTTAATTTTAGATGAGTAGCTTCATAATTGCTTACACTGTAATATGCACGAATGAAAACAAATTAAAATTGCATTTGTACCTTATCACAACTGATCAAGAAATTCTGTGTGAATATTCTGAAGTGTGACCATACCCAGTGTAATTCACTAGGCTGGAATATATACTAAATATATACACCATCACTTTATTAAAAATATCCCCATTTTTGTGTTTAATCCAATATACAGCTTGATTTTCATTTATAAATTAGATAAATCTGGGTACATGAACTTCTGCTCTTACAGTTTTCATGTATGCATTTTTGAAAACTAAGTTTATTGATAAGCCAAACAATGAAATACACAGATGGTTGCATTGTGTCTGTGATTTTTTTCTGTATTTTATTGAGGATGCAAATTCTACCACCTGTATAATTAAAAACAAATAAACAAAACTGCAGATTTACCCAGGCGCGTACCTGAAGAGAGGTGGGCACCGGTTCTAGAGCATAGTTACAGCAGATACAAAAATCAAATCTGAATCTGGGGATTCCCTCCCTTTTTGCACTATGCAAGTCCAGAAAAAAGTTCTGCCAAGACTCTGGCAGCAGAAAAAGATGTGGGATTATCCAGGGTGCTTTCCAATCCTTGTTCAGGAAAAGGAAATATATGCCACGGTACCATTTATTCTTTATCAAACTGGTTTATGACTCTTGCATTAGATGAATACAATGTTTTGGGTAGAAGGAAAAGAAACTGAGGAATAAAAAGCAAAACAACAGGCAGCAGAGAGAGGAAAAAAAGTGAAGACATCAGTGTTTTGGACAGCAAAACAGACAGGACCCTGGTGCTCTGGGGAAATAAATGTGTACTCTGTTTGCCTTCAAGAAGCAAACTGCAAAAGCTGCTGGATGGCATTATGAATATGGACACCCCAAGAACTATAGAACATTTAAGGTTGTAGAATATGTAATGCTATATTGCAAAAGCATGTTAAAGCCATACATTTTGATACAGTATCTGCAAGATTTGCTAATCTTGCTTACAATTGTTCATAAAACTATTCCAAAATGCAATCACGATAAATCATAATTTATTTTAGTTTTTGGTTGTGATTTTGCTTGTTGTCTCCTACACTAACCTACTGTAGTATCTTGAAATGTAAAATAATGTACAAATGGGGTTGACTAAAATTACAGCGGAAAACTGAGTAAGTTTTTGAAATGTGTCATGTATGCAGTGCATACAATTAAGAGTAAGACAATAAGTACTGAGAAAGAACAAAAAAGGTGAGAATGGGTATGATTTTTATATTCACATCAGACAGCCAAGAAAGGTAAGTCTAGGAATACTTTACTATTTGCTGTCTTACAAATAAATTGCACACTACTAGTTTTTTAGGGATGAAAGTTGCTCAGTGAAGACTGATATGTACCAGTCATTTTGGTAAGTACTGATATGTACCACAATCATTTCTTGCCCTTTTAGAAAGAACAGCGTTTAATAGTAAAGTGTACTCTAAAAGTATGATTTAAATGTTTTTCATAATCAATTGCTAATACATGAATACATATTTCTTTTCTTCTTAGTTTAATGAAACACATAGTAAACTTGTAGGTAACGATTAAGAGATATGAAGCACAGAAGCGAAAATAACATGTGTAAATGCAACATACAAACTTATTTTTTAAAAACGTACTTCCATTTCACAAGCTCATCAGTTACTGAAAGAAATATGTACCTTGAAATCTCCTTTCTTCTTTCAACTTTTCAATTTTTCTTCCTTAGATATGGGTACATGCAGCAACCAGTCAGAATGGGGAAGACAGTTTTACGATGCCTCTGCAGTCCAGCAGGCAACTAGTTCCCACTAAACTTTGCCACATTCATGGACATGCAAAAAGACTCAATATATGGTTAGCAATATACTACTTTTCCTTAAAACACAACTGTCAGATGAAAGGCAATATAAAACAAACAAAATGAGCAAAGCATTCTGGGCTACTGGACACAGAATGAAGATGCAGAAGATGAAACCAGTAAATTCCTTCTCCTGTGCCCTCAGGTCAACAGCCCAGAAATTTTTAAGTCTAAGCAGTCATGTAAAGCCACAGAAGTTCCTTACACTATGGCTTCTCTGCATCCTCCAGGAGAACTTCTGCACCAATGCCTAAGAGGTTTCTGCTCACGCTCCTAAATTGATAGGACTGTGCAGACGAAAAATGCTTTCCCTATACACTTATGCACCTGTATCAATCCAGACTTCAAACCATTTTACTACTTTTTATCTAGCTAAGACATAAGCACATCTATATTAATTTTATAAGCAGTTTAGCATCTCTGTAGTACTCAATATTTAATCCTGGCAGAAGCTGGAAAAGCTAGGAGATTAAGCTTTCGCTTTAAATGGCAAAGGGTGGAAAGAATTGTTGTTAGCCAAAGAACCTGACTCACTCCTTGTGAAAATTTAAAAGAAAAATCTGCTTGAGAGAAATTAAATGGAACTTTCCACCTTTTCTAATTCTGATGGAAAATTATTCAAAGGGGAATCAGGGGTTTAAAAAGTAGTGACACAGATGTTCAAGAATTACAATAAGAACCATCAAAGGAAGCACGTGTGCATAAATGAGAACACAAGACCACAGCCAAATCCAACTGGACTACTCAGAGACAATAATTCTTCAGGCAGTGCACTGACATAATCTCTTCCACTAGAAGGGACCAAGCTTATTGTGCTGAAGCACCAGTCATTGCTAGGTCCCCCTGGAAACACACCTAAGCTGCAATAAAACTTGAATAACTACAAGAGAAAAAGAAAAACCAAAACAACTATTGTAGTTACAAACTATATCCTCATTGTTAATCAACTCAGAACAAGAAGGAAGAGTAATATATTATCTAGAAATCTCAGACCTCTCCACCAACCATTTCCAGAAAATCTCTCATAGCATATCCAGGAATTTCTAGGAAAAATATTGTGTGCATGAAAATGCTGAAGAAAAGAGGGAAAATAATTCAACAAAATGTGCAAACATCCTGCATTACCCCAGTAGCAGTCCTACTACTGTTGTTGCCTTGTCCTGTCTGATCTTCCTAAGAACATTTTGCAGACTGCAATGAGATACTAGACTTTCATACCTCCTGTGAAGTTAACTAACAAATGCATGCCTGAGGTCTCTCCCTACCCATGAATCCACAGGTCTGTAGATGCCGTAACTTCTTGATTTCTCTTCATTTAGGGCCCAGGATGAAAATTTAGGCTGATTTATACACCTACACTGACCTGAACAGGATCTCTGGATAGTCTTTAATTTTAATTTAAATAAACATACATCTGTGGAACTTCTTGTATTTCTTGCAGTTTCTTAGCGTAAGTATTGACTGTCCAAAATTTACTATCTCAGTCTTCTACAACTCAGGAAACCACTAGGATTGTACTGCCATCAGTTTGCTAAAGAGGCACCATTTTTCCTTATTATGTAAAGGTGCAGATATGCCTCCAGTCACAGGAACATACAGTACCCAGTCATTCTGTGGTTCCCGAAACACCTGCGTTTCCTAAAGCATTATTTCCTTTGTTGTGTCAATATGGCAGGAAAATCCAATGTTGGCTGGTTCTGCAGAAAGCATGGTCCTAGATGAAGCTGAAGAGAGCAAAACTTCAAACAAGTCCAAGCCGTCTTGGGACGGGAAGCCTAGAAATTGAATGTGACAAAAAGCTCCCCTAAAATCGAAAGCTATGATCTCTCTATAATACCTGAATTAGTGATTAAGATTTAAGTAATTTAATAATTTAAATCTTACTTTGAAACAACTAATTTTCTAAGCATTGGGCTTACTTGTCCAGAAACACTGAAATCTATTCAGTATAAGTTTCCAATTCTTTCACTCTTCCCAGTTCCTGAGAAAGGAGGAAGCAAGTCTATGTTATTAGAAAGTTCCTCTTGAAGGTCTGGTGTCTCTTTGAAAGTGAGATGTCCTTTCGTACTTGGTATGAAATGGTTGTGAGACCTTATACTTTCCTCTCCCTCCTTTAAACCTCGGAGGAGAACGAAAGGAGCTCAGACACTTGTGAGGATAAGAAAATGAAGAGCTTCCAACAAAGCTCTTTTTTTTCAGCTGATGTAAGGAGTGTTTGTGTTCTGAAAAATCCTTCATGATCTGGACCAAGGATTCACCAAATAGCTTGCCGCCTGTGTATGGTAAAGACAGCAGTTTACATTTTAGATCTAGCGATGAGGTCCAAGGACGTAGCCATATAGCTCTCCAGGCTACAGTGAGGCATGCCATATTTTTAATGGTGAGTCTAAGAGAATCCTCAGCTGCATCATGGATAAAATTAGCTGCAATTTTACATAGCCTGCGTTTCCTCTGCATGGCACCAGATGGGACCCATTTCTTTTTGAATCTGGCTTGTTTTTCCTCTAACCATATTAATAACGCTCTAGAAGCATAAGTGCCATAGATAGATACTCCAAGCTGGGCTGCAGCTAGCTTGAAAGATCTTTTAATTGCTTCCTCAACCTTTCTATCAGTAGGATCTTTAGGGAAAACATCCATATTAGCAGGCACTGATAGTGCAGAATCCCCAGTAACCAGTGCTCTGTCTACATGAGGCAAGGTCCCCCACAGAGCAGCTTTATCCACTGGAAAAGGATAGAGTTTACGTAGGACTGCTGGGGCTTCATACTTTGCCTCAGGATTACCCCAAATCCTGTAGACAAGATCTTCCACTGCTGAATGGATAGGAAGTGCATTATCTACCTTGCCTTCTTCAGAGGGAACAGGCAGTTCTTCTGAAGCACATTCAGATTTGGAAGATTTTAACTTTAACACTCTCTTTATGTGCTTGAACAGGTAATTCTGATTCTCCATGTCAAACTTACGCAGAGGATATGGTCCTTCTTGGTCTTCTGTAGGGGATTCAGATGACACCTCACCATCTTCTGGAGATGACTTAACGTCCAAGGCCTTGTCAGCCTCAGATTTCTCTTTCCCAGAAGCGATGTGATCTTTCAAATTGTCCATACGGTCAGACTCAAAAGTTTGGGAACTGCTCCCACTCGCTTCTACAGGAACAACTGGAACTTCTGTAATTGGTACCCTGGGATGCTTTACTGAATGGGACCTAGCCTGTGCCACAGAAGTTATACTTTGCCTGGCTGCTGTCAAAGCATCCTTTAAGACAGTAGCTAGCTCAGGCAAAATTATGGATTTCATTAATGAATTCTCTCCAGATTCAGAGAAGTGAGTATTAGTCGAAGGTCTTACCTTCCTGAGGTAGGAGCTCTGAGCGTCTTCTGAATCTGAGCTGTAGTCTGGGGTCTGGCTGAACCAGTGCTGTAGAGAGGAATGCTGCCTTGCCAGTGAGCCACGAATTGAGTTGCAGCTGAGGGGTTGCTGGAAAGGGGATGGCTGTCCTGCCTGAAAATCTGAGCCCTCCTCCGACCCCATTATCTGTTGCTCAGAAGCATGATGTCTAGAGCCATGCCTGTACTTCCATTCGTCTGACCTCTTCTCCTCTCGGCAGAGGGAAGCAGAGACAGATCTAACCCTTGTAAGCTCTGAAGACTGCCTAGCCCTCCTCCTGGTATAGGAGGTCTCTGATCTGGTGCTGGAGTATTGATCCCCTGACCTTCTGAAGAAGTTGGATCTGTCAGATCTCACAGACTTTGCTTTTGTAAAGACAGGGTCTGCTTCAGGAGAATTGGCACAGCTACCTTTTCTTTTCTTTTCCTTGTCCAGTTTCTTTCCTGTCCAAGCAGACATGGACCTGAAGTGATGAAAAAAGTTCAAAATACTCGAATTCCTAGATCTTTCAAAAATTACTTTCTTTTTCAAGGGAAACCCTATACCCTTTTTCCTCAAAGAAGCATTGCATCATGACCAGTGTCATGTGAGGTAGACAGACTGGGAACTGAGTGACTGCAGTGATGCTGGGCTGCAGAGAGGGTGCCAAGATATCTTCTGTAATCTGACTGGTTGCTGCTGCTGCCCTGTCTCTAAGGAAAAAAGAGGAAAGCCCAGTATAGACTAATTGCACAGAAATACATTTTAGAAAGGAGTTTTTGCATGGTAAACAGGGTGAGGTCTTTCATGTGAACAAGTCTGAAAGCTTGGCATGCATCTGTCCATATTCACCAGACATGAGGTGGATAAATGCATTATAAAATAATTTAATAAAGCACTAGATGATTCTATAGATTAACTCAAGCCACTTAAATATGGAGACATAATTTCAAACCTTGCTATAGGTCACACATGAAAGCAGATTTGTATAGTCTTATTGTAGGCCTGGGAAAACATGTATTGAAGTCATATAATTTGTACAATTCTCTACAAAGGTCAGTTTCTGCTGCTGCAAGTTCCAAGTATCAAAAAAACAGAGGAGTAATAAAGGAGATTGCAAACTGAACTGACTAGGAAAACTTATACAGTACTTATTTATTCACCTCTGCTTACAAATATTGCTTCACACTTCCCTTTTTATCAGCTGAGTGTAATTAATCCATATGCACTTAATGCTGTAATAAAATACTATTCTGAACTCATTAACCTAAGAAAAGAGTGTTGTATTTTTTAAAAATCAAGGAAGAATAAACAGAAACTGCTCTTTGGCATTCAGAACTGTAAATCTATTCCAGTCAGATCAAGATGCGTGTTTACATGAAGAAGCTATGGCAACAGGGTAGATCCTTCTTGAAAAGGATTTTTCTATGTACATTTGTAAATGTCACATCTTCAAAATAATAAAGGGCTTACAATGCTTCCGACAGGAATGTACTACAAAAACTGTTATAATACCCATGTAAAATATAATAGCATTAACATATTTAGAAAACAGTAACATTATTTCCTGTACTAATCAAAAACAACAAGTAAAATGCTGCTTATTTAATAAACTATATCCGTAATTGTTATATGAACAAGACTTGTCAAGGCATGCTTTTTGTGATGCCACGAGATTCAGCTAGACTACATTTACAACAAAGAGAGTCAGGAATGAGCTGTGTTGCATGCTTTGAAGCTGCTTGTTACATATCTTGTACAGAAATACATGAAAGGGAGATTTGTTTTTTCTTCTAGGACATTGCTTCACCTCTGTGTATAACATAATTTCCCTGTTATTGGATTAGGTGTTAGTACTGGCAGCCATTTTCAATGCATTTGTTGCATTATTGAACGGCTTATTCTAAGCTTGGGTGTTTAATTTTTTTGTAATGGTGTGGTTTAAATGCTATCTATAGTTCTATCCAACACTGGATACAGAATCTTTGTCAACATGGAAAAAAAGTTAGTTTTGAATTAATAAGTGTGATATTATATACAGTACATGTGTGATATGAACAGTGAACATGACAAACCACATCAGTTACTCACCTGTATTCACCAAATGTTCCATCATCTTCCTTCATAGGTTGTATTTCTGGATCAGCATGTGCATCCTCCTTTTCCTTCACTAAAATATTTGAAATAGTAATTTTTATCATGAAACTGCAAGACAAGAAACCTTAAGACCTTACTTTCTCAAACTGATCACATTTGGCAGGAACGTGGTTTGAATAAAGATAATTTTTTGAACTGGAGCCTTAGGCTGTTACATTTTTTCTTCTGAATTAAAATATTTGTTAATTATATAATTTTAATTCAAATACAAAATACTGTATTTCATTCTGCATTAGTGAAACTTTTTCTTACTTTCATTTCTAGCACTGAAAAGAAAGTTTTGTTAAAAATCTTACTAAAATACTTTCTTATGTTATTAATAGAGCTATTGTTTATTGAAATCTGAATAATTTAGTTTTACTTATCCATTCTCCATATTTCCTTTTGATATTCTTCTCATACTGACTGATAAAACTGAGTGAGATTGACTGGTGTTCCCTGTCAGTTTGTACACCTTCTGCTTTCATTTCATGCACTAAGAATCCAGGGAATTTTAAATAGTATTTTAAGAATTACTAATACTGGAAAAAATAGGCATGGTCTGTTAATTTCTTCATGATCAAAAGCAAAGCAAAACCACCTACACTGGAATCTAAATTTAACACAGTTTTATCTCTTGCACATTGTTGTTATAGGTTTAGTCATCATTCACTGGTGGGAATAAATCCACCCATGTAATTTTTATCTATAAAAAAAACTATGTAGCACCGTGTCCTTTGATACAGAAAGGTACCAGCACCTGAGAAGACAGATGTTTAAAGAGGACATATATTCCTCTAAGTTAAGATTGTTGACAGAGTAAAATAATATACTGACTTCTAGAATTATCTTTAGGGTTCTTCCCTTTGCCTTTTCACTTCTGTTTTTTTGGAGACTACTCAAGTCTTTCCCTTGTTTAGCAGATACAGTTATATAATCCGATATACAATCTCTTATCTTTTACTCTGGTAATTTCTACATTTAATTTGTATATCATTAGTTTATATGCTGTTATTTAAGATGATATGAAATGTTCCTGACAGTATTTTCTAAGTCTATAATTACAGTGATGTGTAACACCTTGAAAGGTACCTGGCTGCTACAATTTCACACTGAAATAATTTATTACTTTTTTTCAAACCATAGGCAATCTCAAAATGACATGCTAAAATTATGATAAAAAAGAGTTAGTAACTTTGTGCTTGGCATTTGTCACTATCTGTGGAACAGTACATTTACAATGACACAAGAAATACAATTAGCTCTAGAGTCACTGGTATAAATGAGAGTATATGCTGAATCTGGAAATCTTATATACAGTCAAGGTCTACCTTTATATATGTGTGTGTATGTGCATATGTGTGTCTGCATAAAAGAATTAGTATCTTACATCTAGTAATTCTGCAGAAGCAGAGAAAACAAGGGCATAGAAGGGATCTCCACAACATAATGACAACCTTCGCATCCAGCTGCCTCCTAAGCTTTTACTCAAACAGTGTTTTGCCGCCTTCTAGATGGTGGATTACTCCAAGTCCTTCCTCTTTTCATCATTTGTTTCATTCTCCTAATTTCCCTTATTTTTCCTCGATTCTCTCCACTAAGAGTCACTTTTCCTATATCTTCTGTAATCTCATTTTCTCTTTAAAACATTAGGAAAACACCTGAGATGACGTCTTCAACCTGCTATTCAACTCTATATTACACTGTGTTCCTTAATCGTTTGTCTCTTCTTCATGGGCATAGGCCTTTGGGACAGAAGCTTACTTAATTTTTGCAATCACTACAAATCTTTGCTCTGTCCAGAAACCAATTTAACAGTTAGATTGGGAAAAGTAGGATACTTGTACTTAACAAGGTGATTTTGTCTTCTTATACAAATATTCTGCTATGCTAAATTCAGCTATAAAATAGTTGCAAATTATAAAATATATTTGGCCATTCCTATGTCTAATACTAAAAAACCCACAAACCCTACAAAGAAGAAGTCTTATAAACAAAAAACTTACAGAAGAAAAAACAGCCTAACTGAAAGATGGTAACTTCAAATTTAGCTGCAAAAATTCAGAGGCCGAAGATGACACAGATTCTGAGGAGGGTAACATTATTTGAGACAAAATTTTGTATGGAGGGATTTGTCCTATGAAATGCATTCCCAGTACTTTAAAGTAACATGGTGGCTATGATCTGGTATATGTTTCCACACTTTCTGACCAAATAAATTCTAACTCAGCCTATTTTAGTGGGTTAAATCCATCTGCATTAGGCTTCAGAAAGTGGAGTGCGCAGTACTGGTGGGAGGACAACCTCCCTCAGACAAAGCTCAAACCTCTCTGGAGAGGTAATGTAGTAATATGACCCTCCAGGAATGAAGGAGATACTTTTCTTATGTTTAAATGGATTGAGGTTTTCTACCAACAGGCAGATTGTTCCTGACAAACCTACCAAATGATAAGACTGATTTTCCACGTACACAACGTAAATGCAAACCAGCAGCAAATGTAATTTCTCCATTAAGCCTGAGTTCTCTCTTAATTGATTACCAGTAGGTGATTTTTACTCTCACTGTTATATATCATACCTGGGTATTTGCCACCCTTATTCCTCCTTATGAAGCAAACAATCAGTAAAATCAAGATCAGAAGAGCAACAGCACACATAAGACCAATGAACCATCCTTGAGTAGCGATGTCTACCTGCCGACTTGCCATTGCTAGAGAATAAAAGAAGAAAAATGACATGTTTTGATGTATTTAAATGCTATGCTAATTTAGATAAATAATAGCCAGTGTACGTTGTTCATTAATTAAGGAATAACCTTCACTGCGGAAATTAATATTAAGAAAAAAGAATGATACTGTATTTTGTGTATATTTTCATTATTCAAAATGTTTCCGAGTACATGTGCATAGAACCTACTTCTGAGTATATAAGAACTCTGCCACGATTTAAGCTTAGCAGCTACTTTGCAAAATCTGTGCACATACTACATTGCTTTCCACAAACCTCAAAACTGTTCTCAACCATTTTACATTAATTACAGAAATAAAACTGCAAATTATAATTCACACAAACACATCAATTGCATTCTCAAAATTAATAAAAAGCCAATACTCATTAGCTAATGCACTCCCATCAGTCTGAAATGGGGAAACAGATGGGTCATTGAAGGCCCCAATGTTCAATTTCAACTAAAGATCAACAATGAAGCATCCTTTAAAGCCTTATTAAGCATCATGTTTTCTACCTCATCTTACAATTTATCATGATTGCCATGATTTAGCATTCGTGAGGACTCAGCACAATGCAATTGGGAAGCCTTTCCTTGGCACTGTTTCTCTCCAAATGCTGACTCTAGCTGGAAGATAATGTAGCAAACTACAGAGGAAACACTACAGTCGCTAGTAAGGACAGGAATTATCTGTGAGGTCTGGGGGCTGGATCTTTCCTACTGGTCTCCAACCCAGCAGGGGGATTTGCCTGGGGAAGCTAATTTTCTACCCTGCTGTTTGGAAACACAGTGCAGGCAACTGGCCATACGATTTGCTGTTGTGAGAAAGCGGGAAGGGTGAGAGGAGTTAGGGATGAGTGCTACAGAGAGATGAAGACTTCTCCTCCAGCCCCAAAATCCAAGACTTTGAAACTTTATGAAGAGTTATCCAACAGACCTCTCTCTAATTGGAAGAGACAAAGATCACCTTCCCACATGAATAAGGAAACTGACATGCAAAACACTTTCTCTGTATAACTCAGACAGCATTTTGGTTCAGCATTTTTTGTTTTTTTTCTGGCTTCATGAGATAAATTATTGGATTATTCATAGCCAGTACATTACTTAGAATTTTAGTAAGGGTCAGTAGTACTTCAGATCTCAGCTAAGTAGACACTTCGCACTAGGACCAGATTATATTTGAGACCTGCAGTCAGTCTCTTTATTAGGATGCTGTGAGTACATCACCTCTCATGGCACCATAATATTTCATCCCTATCTCCTAGGGAAGGTCCATAGACTTGCATTCACAATGCATGAATAACTTTACACACAGAAATGTAAAAGATCCTGAGCCTCATGAAGATTTCCACCTCTTCTCAGCGAAGATATGCTTTTAAGGGAAGGCTCATAAAAACACATCAGAGAGAACCTACTTTCAATGGAGCATTGTCTGTTTTCTAGCCACAATTCCAGGTGACACAGCATAAATTCTTCTTACAAAAACACGTTGGCTGACAACTGGGAACAGTCCTGTGCTGCTGCTGTCCCCTGAACAAGACCTGAGCCTTGCTTGGCAGGCAGGCGGGTGACAAGAGACTGCACTGGGCTGGCAAGCACTCAAAGAACAAAATGTAACAATATTCTAATTAGAGGTCAGAATTCAAGCCCATATTTCAAAGTTATTTACTAGTTAAGACAGAGGCCAAGGAAGCTAGCTTGGAAATGTCAGCTTTCAGTGGTCTCAGATTCCTGAGGGTTTTCCATGGATTGTATAAAAACTCAAAGTACTTCTGATGTCTGGAGACAGTACCTACCTGCCATTCCACACTAAGACCAATCTGTATTCCACTTTAGAAGTACTAGGCTAAAACTAGCTCTTTAATTTGCTGCCTCTTTTTGGTATTACTGGGCAAAGTTATTACTTGATTTTCATTTAAACAGATCAATTAATTAATGTGCCTGGTCATTGTGGAGTTGTGATTAGGAGATTTCCCAGCCTTTGTTTAAGAATACGCTTTCTGATATTTTTGAAAAACTGACTCTTATATGCAGAATGATTGAAACTACTTTTGCATAAAAATGTCTACATGTTATATAAATATATAGCTTATATGCACATATATTTATATTTTATATATATCATATATAAATATATTTTTATATAAATATAAAAATATAAATACATATCAATATATAGGCGGCAGTCTTAAAAAACAAAATCACAAAGGCAATCTTCCTCTGAATTATATATCAAATTAAGATAATTTTTTGTTTTCACATTAAGGTTAAAATTATTTTTAGTTTTGTACATATGCATTCATAATAAGGCATTAAAGGTTGTATAATACATACCGTGACAAAATGCAAAAGCACATTTAACATTCAAATGTAGGAAGAAATAGCATCAAGCAAAACAACTCATGCATAAAAATATGCAAGATAGATGGGAAAGAGTAAAGATGAAAACTTACTTAGGCAGCTTTCTGTATTCTTTAATTTATTGCATATCCAGTAGGAAAGGGTTTCTAGATCTCAGTGCAACTTTAAGAATGGCACATTTCCTGCTTACACTAAGCAAATCATCTGCTTCAGGCAGAAAGACAACTACTCTTGGTGAGCTGCTAAGGCAGGAGTCAGTGGAATACACTGTACTGGTATGCTCAAAAAGGTAAATCTGCACACTATGAAGATGCTCTATAGGAACACTTGACAAAGAAAAAAATGTGGCAAAAGACTCATATATGAAATATTGCAGTTTCATTCCTAACTAAGGACATATGCCAATTCCAGTATTTTCCTCTTTGTCCGCTACATTTTTTGCAGTGTTTAAAAGCTTTGATCTAGGCTGGAGACAGTGTGACACAGTATTTTTCTGTAAGAAATATGCTATGTATCTAATTTAATGCTGGACACTGACCCTTTCCATTATCAAGAAGCAGAAAAGAGTGTTTTTAAATTCCCTTCTTCCTTAACTACTCAAGGACATAAGCCAAAGTGATGGGGTACCTACAGGATTCCTTATCTACTGGCTCGGTAATTTTTTGTGCAGAAAGATGCTTTTGAGAGGGTTTTCATTCAGTTTGTTTTGAATTATACTATAGTCTTGATCCTTGCTTTACTGCTGCTTTAGGCTTTGGATGTGTATTTGCATAAAATTTTACATATCTGCTTTTATACCACTAGCTGTCTCTGGCATAAATAACCTCTGTGTTTAGCCCATACATATTTGCTTGGCACTGTTATTCAGCACCATGTTTTCAAAGCTTTCCTGCAACACGATAAACTGTGAACAGAAATGGAACAAAACAAAGCAAAAAATTATGATTTTAGAAAGTGCTCACTTTCAAACTGGCATATTCATTATTTACTTTGTTGTCTGATAATTATTACATACTGTTCAAGCATATTTTCACATTTAAACTACTTTCTTAAATCATAACATTCTGGAGTTGGTGAGGTTACTGCTGAGTAACTACACACTGACCAAAATGCTTGGAATGAGCAGAAGTGGCTAGCAAATGCACAACAAATAATAACAGCTGACCAAGAACATGCTGTGATGGCAATGACATATTCAGCATAACATCAAAAAACTTCCAGTAAAGCCTTTTCTTTGAGATAAATGAACCAGCATCACTGATTTGCTTAAGGAAAAAATATGCTTGAAATATGTACATAATGAAATTAAACAGCCTTTCTGATTCACAGGATATAGCTGTGACACCAAAATCTATATAAAACGAGTATATGACAAGAAAAGAAACATTTACAAGTAGGAATCTCTTAACACTGGTATAAATAGATTACATGAGACATCAAGTTGAATCTGCACTTCTGATTACGCAAACATTTTAGCTCAGATTTTTTGTATTAGAAATGATTATATACAGATTGTTAGCTTTAAAAGTATATACTTAACTCTATTAAAATACACATTATTAAAATACAGCCATCTGATTTTATTAATTAGAAATAAATGAAATAGGTCATCTTCAGTGCACAGCACACAGATGGAATGTGAGCAGTGAGTATCTTGCCCCTAATATAAACATCAGACAAATAGAGTGAATTGAAAGAATGAAAACATTCATAATCTACGTAATAAATGTGCTTGCATTATTTAGGAGTTTATAAAGGAATTCAACATTGCTCTACAAAAAGAACATGCAAAGATGCTAGCTGCAACATCTCTTAGCTAGAAGCAGTTGAACGTTTCAGCGCTTGGTCTACCACAATTCTGACTAGGACACAGAACTGGTACGGTGTGCCTCACCTGGACCTGTCTCAAACACATCCTCTGAACTCCTAAAACCAGACAGGCCCTCAGCACCAACCCGGACTTTATATGCTGTTCCTGGGGTTAAACCCTTTAACACAAAGAAGCTTCGAGAACCATTTACAATTTCTTTTTTCCAATCTTCTTTGCCTACAAAAATTTTAGGAAAACAACATATTGGAATTTTAATTTTCTCTGTATCACTGTAAGTTTCTAGACAGAACACTATCAACAGTTGCTTGACTAAACTATGGATTGGCTGAAAAAAATAATTGTTCTCTCAAAAAATAAAAAAATCACATAAAATTATGACTTCAAATAATATATTGCATGCAATATATTGAAGAAGACATTGTACATGGATTATGAAACTTTTAAACATTTGTTCCATTGTACTAGAGAAATACTGTTTTCATTTATTTTTGTAAAAGGCTTATTGAACTTGCAGTTATAAAATACATTAAAATAGATGTTAATAATTTAATTAAATTACACTTCAGTCAATATTTACTTTAGTTAAGAAGTTAGTTCTACTTTGAAATCTGAACCTACATGTCTTGTATCTTTTTCCAGGACAGTCTCAGCTGCTGTTTTGACTAATATCCGGAAAAACACATTTATATTCCAATTTTCAGGTTGGTCATCTTTAGTCATAACTTTAGACGGATGGAGTATTTGAACAGAAGTATCTTGGGTTTATTAGCTAACTGTGTTTTAATTATTACTAGTATTATCAAAGATTAAAACCTATTTTTATGCCAATAAAAGTATGCAAATTGGTTGATATCTTATTTTAAGGTTTAATATAACAAAGAGTATTGTTCTGATTTGCTCTCTTTTTTTTTTTTTTTTTCCCCTGAATTGGGCATAATCTAGGAAAACTCATATCATATTATAAAGCAAGTAAACATGTTTTTATACATGTAATCACTGCATGATAAACAACTTCATGCAAACTACAATTTTAGAAGTTCATGTTCAAAAGAATTTATACAATAATACAAAGGAACAAAGGCTGATATTCTTTCTGAGCAACAAATAGCTGCTACACATTGATGTTTATTAAAATTAAAATTATTTTATCTTCCTGATCAAATTAAATAATATTTCTTCTAGACACTTAAGAGCTATCATCAACACTGGATCAATTTAGGACCACATTTACTATAAAAATTGTTGAAAATATATCTGAACACTTTAACAAAATTTAATGAAAGGACTTCTTACTGCCTGCTACACCATATTCAACATAAAAGTTCGCATGATCTGGTCCCTCATACTCCCAACTGATATTGGCATAGGTCTCAGCGGCAGCTGTTGTAACATTTCTGATCCTTGGATAAAGTGGTTGCACTGAATATACAATAGAAAAACAAAGCAGAATACGAAATTGTGACTTCATACATTAAAAAAAAAATGATTTTAAGAAGTTACTATGTTAATTTAGACCATATACAGGGAAAGTATACTACATTTGTCATTGTTTCCATTACTGGAAATTAGTGACTAGAGTATTTGGTAATTGAATCCTAGGCAGTTACTACACTGTGAAATTATAAAGTAAAACCCAAGTACTCTACTGAGCATGCCCTGTATCACAAAAACTGCCAAATACTTAAAAATACCTAATTGCCACAATTCTGGAAAACATTATTTCTATTCATCTAGAAGCAAAATGAAGACAGCTGGAAAGTGAGAACATTGTCAGGGTAATGGGAAATGGTAGAAGAGAATGGAGTTACAAAGGTGGTACACACCTCCCTTTATGCCACATCTCACTGAACGGACTGCCAATGTCTCAACTGCAAGCCCTTAGAGGACTTTGTCTCTATTGCATTGATAATGATAAAAAAGTAAGACAGTACCCTTATAGAATGTTGGACGGACAGTGTGCATGACTGGGGAGGTTGCAAAAAGGGTTTCTGAATATCCTTCACCATCAGAGATAGTAGGAAAGAAAAAATAAAGAGTAAAACCACTTTGCATCAAAAAGTAACATTTAAATAATACAGTAAAACCTTACCTGTTAAATGAATAACACATGCACAATCTAAGTTCATGCAGGATTCAATTAGTTTTGCTTGTTAAAATATGAAACAGCTAAGTGATACACATATATTTGAAAACAAACCGAATTATGTGTGTAGACACACCTTTACTTTCACAGAACATTTCTGAAATCTGCTTCATTAACATTATGGATTTACGGCACCTTTAGACACTGAAACATAAGATGTCAGATACTGGGAAGCCAATATCAAAATACTCTGGTGTGAAGGACACAAATCACTTTTTGACACAGCAAAAAGCTGTTCATTGTAGGGTACTGTGTCTTACTGCTGACATCCTCGTTAGACAACAGTACTTTTCACAGATATAATGCTCACATCTATGAAAAGAAGTGCTTCTCTCTTCAGCATCATGCAATTAGCCACTTCTTTGTTCATACCTTAATTCTTTGTTCTCCAATTATACTTGGTATGAATGGACATATATGTCAGTATTTTTGTTTGCCTAATATTAATGAAAAACAGATTTTAATGGTTTTAAGAGTGTAATAGTGCAGATACAAAGAGGATGGTCCTCAAAGGCACGAAATTAGTTTTTAATAAAAATGCCCCATTCAGTTTTGCCACTGACATTTCTACCTTGCTAAAAATACACATTGTCAAAAACAACTTCAAAAATACTTCCCAAAAAACATGAAACATCTGAGATAAAAACTTAGTCTCAGTAAAGACAAATGGCAGAATTCCAATGGCTTCACCCACACCAGAAGATTAAATGGGCAAAAGCCTGTTCCCAAGGCAAGAAGTGCTACACAGATTTTATCTATGTACTTAAATTATTTTCTCCTCAAAACAGGTTGGCTTTGTCCATATGGCTGACTGGAAAAAGTTCCAAATTAGTTTCAAAGAGAAAATGGCTTACTTTGGCATAGTAAAATAAAAAAATCTGTATACAAGCCCCTAGCACAGACTAAATAATATGAGTACCATGTCTAGAAAACTATGGTTTCTGAGTCTTTTTTAAAAAATACCTAATTCATGCAGATTTCATCAATTCTCCTGAAAATGTATTCTCATGGTTACAGATTTTCACAATATCAGCCTTTTTTATCCCTATACTTGCATCAAATTTTTCTTCTTAACACTATTCCAGTAGTACTCATTCCACTCTTCAATCTGCATTAAACTAATTACTCCCACATTTGATGTCTTTGTAGGTAAACTGTGCTTATATATGTTTATATATCATTTCTTTCACCAACCAAAAATAATAAAGAATATATTTTTTAAATAATAAAGAATGTTTTTATTTGTTGGCTAAAACCACCTGAAAAAATCAAATAGAAAGCACTAGATTTAAAAAAAGCCATCTAGGTTGCTAAATCATCAACAAAACCTCTATGATACCAAAACCAGAGCTGCCTGTGGGAAATCTATCATGTAACCATAGACACTATAGTAATGCACAGGGATTAGATTCTGCTTCTCTGTGACACTTGAAGGTAGCAAGAGGAAAGAATAGCAGGCTCTAAATTTAGAAAGGTGCAGTCTGAGATTTCAGACAGGATATATAGACTTTCTTCTGTATTTGTACACAGGAACAGGTGTTTGTTACAATCAGCATCTAAGCATTTGTTCTGTGCCAAAAAAACAACTGGTTTGTATTCCAAATACAATTTTTGTTTGTTTCATCAAATCGTATTTTCTTGAACTTGTATTTTCCTGGATTTTGCTTTTCCACAAAAGGTGTCTAATTAGCAGCACAATTGTATGATTGATATTTGTCACCAATGTTAAAGACAGAAGAAACTCTTAGCAATAATCTGTTTCAAACTCCTGCAAACAGATGCCATAAAATCATCCTTAACTTCTCCCTCCTCATGTCTGAGCACTCAGGGATGAATGAAATTCTCTCATCTTGTGTGAAAGACTCCAGATGACAGGCAGCTGTTGTAACACTAAGCAAATTCCATAATCACCTTTCCTGCAAAATCTCCGTCTTATCTTGTGTTTTGTTTGTTGTTGTTGTTGTTGTTGTTGTTGTTTTTCCACCTCCAATGTCCAGTTTCTGAACTGATTAAAGAGTTGCCTGCTAGATTAAAGACCTGGTATCTGGTAAACATCTTTCTATTCATATGACTGTGTACAACAATTAAGTTGGCTCTGAAAATTACCTTAATTTCCTTGGCATCTTAATTTCTAAATCCTCTCAAGTGACTGATTTATGCTTACATTTATCAGATGTACTCTTATCTAATTCTTACCAATACCTGTTTGTATAGATTTATCCATGTGTTCTATTTGGTCTGATTTAAGTTCTGGGCTTTTTTTCCTACTGAATACAGCGCACCAAGAAATTTGTTCAGTAGCACATTTATTTCAAAAATCATTATTTTTCCAACTCTTCCTCTTTTTCACTACTGCTTGATCTAATTTTCCAGCAGGCTTGGAAAGTTTTAGTTAAGTCTGTTAAATATGCCTTATTTGCAACATGCATACACACATGAGAAGATAAAAGATGGCTGATGGATCCTGAGGTGATGAAAGCCTGGAGTCAAAGCGGTTACAACATTTAAAACTTGACTCCAATCTACCCAGACTCTTGTCTTCTCAAACAGCACACCTCTAATAATAATTAACCTCTTAGTTCTTCAATATGTTTCCCAGCACAAATGCAGAATGTGTAACTGTCAGTTGGCAGAAACTCTCAGCGTGTTCAAGCACCAGTTGGTAAAAAGGGGGAGCAGAAAGCTTTGTCATAAGGGAGAAGGAGTTTCAGTAGCGGAGCTCTGAGCTCCCTTGATCTGCAAACATGCACAATGCTGGGCAGCAGCGCTGACAAAAGCACTGCCCTAAATCTCATGGGAATGGATTGTTAATAAATTACAGTTTTTATACAGACCAACTCTTATTCAGCCGCCTCCAGTAAATTAAGCTCTTTTATTCATGGTACAGTATGATGCAAAATTTAGTTGGCACTTCTGAGTATGGTTTCATTCCTGTAGTGAGATATGGTATAAAAGCACTTGACAACTGTTGAAAAAGAAGCCTAGGCTTCAAGTAAAATTTTCGTTTCTCCTCAGAGTAATTCCAGGGCTTTTTTAGTGGAGTTTTTTGTAGAGTTGTATTCAATCTTCCAGCCTTTCAGGAACACAGTTCCTCCAAATAACACAGTTACACCTGGGCTGCAGATTTGATAGAATTTAATAAGATGTGACATGAGATATGAATGGATTTTAATAACAGAATAGGTATTCTCCCTCAAGATTTAGTTCAGCAGAACAGTGAATTAAATAATCCCCCAAGTGACTAAACTTTAGGAATTTTCATGGGATTTACCTGATCTCCAGGAAAAAATGGTAGGTAAGCAACAAGCATACATTTGAAGATTGGTGTCAAATGGAAAAAAAAAAAAAAAAAAAAGCAGTATATCATAGACAATTAGTTAAAATGCATATATAAAGAGAAAAATAAATTCAAAAGAAAAAAATCCCAAGCGCACACACAAGAAAAGATGAAGGAAAAACGTAATAGATTCTGCCAGAGCCTGTAAGACACAGAGAAGGGTTTTGATTTTGTTTGCTTTTTAACCTACAGCTTTTACAGTACAAAATTCAAGCCTTAGTACAACAGCAGGAGTGAATTCCCTTTCTGGCAGCGAGAGATGGGCATTAGTCACTTCTAAGATTATTTAGGCCACTGCAAGAGCATTCCTGTAGCGCAAAAAATACAGAAAACAAAATGAAAATGGAAGAAATCATTTCACTGATAGGCATTTAGCATGGCGTGGACTTTGCATGACATTTATGAAGCAAAAGGTATTTGCAGGAATTTTTGCACTGCAACAATCATAATCTTCTCTAGTCTAGCATGCAAAGCATCATCATTGTTCCCAGTAGACTAAAACAAGGACAAAACAATGGCTCTGTGTAGCCTGCTGTACTGACAGAATCACATAGCTATATCATGGAGGAGTTCACAGTGAGAGAGTGCCTGAAGAAGCAGTACAAAAATACTATAATCATTTGAAAAAGAAAAAGCAGCTTGAAGTTGCTAGCAAAAATATGGAGACATTATGTGAAATGATTCAAAGAGGGAGGAAAAGCAGATGGTGGGCAGAGAAAATGATTTGAACAGCATTTTGTATGGAACAAAGAAAACTGAGATGATCCTATCTTCTACAAAGAGATCAGAAATAAGAACTCAGTTGAGAATAATTTCTAGCCTACAGTGAAGAGCTACATGCTGGAGATTCAGTCAGAAAAAAAGAATAGTTTCAAAACCAGAGGTTAGACTACTTGTTTTTCCCCCTTGCAACAGAAGTATTTCTGTCAATAATACCTGAGGATGTGAAGTTCACATGAAGAAGGCAACCACGTTGACAGGAAGTGTTAGCTTCAATTAAAGGTAACTGTGATCTCACAACCTTATTTTAATTACAGTTTAGGACTGCCAGTTACCAGTGTCTGCATACATGCAGACTACAAGACCTTGCTTTCAAATAAAAACGTTGACTAAATCAGAAAGAAACTGAAAAGTGAAACAATAAGGCTTGTGAAATGAGACTGACATATCATGCCATGACTCTTTACAGTTCAGCTTACAAAAAACAATAACGAATCCCTGTGACTGTTTATTTTAAGCAGCAACTTTCATTTCTACTACTGGTCAAATGGGTATTCTCTTCCTTCCTCTATAGACCAGTTATTTAAAACTTCTAATGGAAAAGAGTAGAAAAGACTTGACTCTAGTGGTCGCCTGAGTCATTTTCCAGCTGCTACTATAATTATTTTACATGTAATCAGGTTCTTATTTCCCAGTTTTTCTCATACCTCTGTTACCTCATGCCTGCCATTGGATCTCAATACATAAATGGCAATATCAATGCATACTGCTCATCTAATATTGGGTACAATACATTATGTTTTACATATGCAGTTTTCAGACACATTTAGAATACAGGTTGCTAAGAAGAAAAGCAATTATTTTTTCTTTGTAGTGCCATAATTTGATCAAATTTAAGTCATTCATAACATCACAGTATTAGAAAGGAAAAAAGATAGTGCAAGTCAAATAGGAATATCAACCATAACAGGATAGCTTGCCCATCTAGTAAAATAATATGTCTCATGATTTACTCATGTGTGCTTGTGAGAATCACATGGATCTCCTATGCTATGTTTCCTTTAGAGTAGAAAAAAACCCCTCAATTCTTGTAATTTCTGCTGTTTGATGCAATGGCACTGTTTAACTAAATAACTTTTTTATTAGGAATGGTGCCTGTATTACAGGGATAAAAAAATTTCCTCCTTATACTGCCCTCCATTTGAATAGAGCTTCTAAGTTCTACTCAAGTTACAGAAAAAAAAAAGATTCCTTTATCTAAATCCCTTAGCCTTGACCTAGTATTTCATGTTTTCATCTAAAGCTGTTATTTTACCTTATGGGAAAAATGCACAAAACTTGCTTCTCTACTTATTGGTCTAGAATATACTGGGTATCTTTACTTAACACCAGTACAGTCATTCTAATCAGACAGATTCATTTGGGACAAACACTAAAAGTGTCAAGAGCAGCAGTGAGCAAACTGTGGTTATTTTCATTGTTTCTAAAATAATGGAAGACAATGAAGGGCCAACTCCTGTCTAAAAAGATGGCAAAAGACAAATGGTGCCAAGGGACATGGAATGGATTTCAGAACTACAATAAAAATATTGGGACTCGCGTAAGATCCTTAGATTTAATGTAGCAATGTTTCCTTCTGCATTTGAATATGAAGTGAAATACGTCCCAAGTTGAACAGGTCGCCCAGGTTTAGATGATTTGAATTCCTCCAGGACCTTGTGTCTAATGTTTCTGACTGGCCAAGCTGAAGGTCTTCGGGGGCAGCTAGACAGTAGAAAACACCCAAGTACAGAAATTTCAGTACAATTTAGGCTGGCTGAATATGGGACCTGTTGTCTCCTTAACTTCCAAGATGAATGTGCTCAAATTGAAAGAGAAAGGATAATCACATTTTTCTGGTCAGTTTCTGCCCTTCAAAATGAAAAACCGAGATGGTTTTGATCACAAAAAAGTTGAGAATAGCTAAATTTCACCTTCTCCTTGGTTTGGCTTTGGGTCCACATTAGTAAACACTATATATACATATAGGCCCTCCTGCACTTAACGGAGGAGTAAGAATTCACCACTGGGTATGGCTTCTTCTTGAGTGGGCTGAGTATTTCTATCTTTCAAATTCACCCACTTATGAGACCAAATAATTTGGCAATTGATCTTGATAATATGATCCTCCTTTTCCTTCCTCATAGTCTCTGATCAGTAGCGAAACAGTTAATCATGTTAATGTAAGTAATCACCGAGAACGTTCATCTCAGACCTGCAGCAACTCAGATGTCCTAACAGATGTCATGGCTTTATTTCCATCCTGTTCGCAGTTCCAAATTTTCCTTTGCAATTGTAAGAGCTAGATGCTACAGGAATATGTGAAAACTTTGAAACCATAAACGACATGGAACAAAACGAAGACATCTGCTTAGTTTTCAGAGAATCTGAGATGACAGCTCTGAAATGTGAGCTGCTCCAGCTGATCTTACAAATAAGATGCTTTCTGCTAGCCACAGACTGTGATACAACTATAATTAGAACTCAGTTTCACACAGAGAATCCAGTTTTCCTTGCATGAGTGTTTATAGTCAGCTATAAATAATGAGAACTTAATTTACATTTCTGCTGTTACTGTCCAGGACTACAAGCCAGTTTGATTGTTCCAATCTGTGCTGACTTCTCAGCTACAATTAGACTAAAAAACAGTGAGAAAAATTTTTCATTAAAATAAATCCACAACTCCATACACTTACCGGAAATGCATCTAATATTAGAATACACTTATATATACATTTATATATTATATATGCACAAATGCATGCACACATACATATATATACATCATCTACTTTATACCAGACTGAGTGAATGAAGTTCTTTTTTATGTCTATTATCATTCAAAACACCTGATAATCAAGTGGAAAGAAAATATATGTAAAACAATTTATGCTGTCTCTTCCAAGTTTGTAAAAAATGTTGGATATTTCATGTACAGATTTTGATTTGGGATATTTACGGTCTTATAATCTGAAGCACAGATGTTCATTGGTACTAATGACACCTCTGTGATGAAATGACACATGCATACAGAGACATCTTTCTAACTTATAGCTACCTACCAGTCCTCAGGACAATCTTTGCTTCTGACAGTAAAGGTATCAAAATTCATAAAAACCGTGTGCAAAAATGCGAAGAACACCACGTTTGACAGAATAACTGCATCATAAAGAACTAAATATTACTGAATTCAAGAATAAGGATGATAATTGGTTCCACTCACTGAAATACCCTCAAGTACTCACTGACAAGATCTGTGAACCTAAGACAGCACGAAGCTATTTGCCTATATATATTCAATCTGATACTTGAACTGAGAAAAATACAGAGGGTATTGTCAGTCATCTGTCTCCTATGCACAGTTGGCTTTCAAGTGAAATAAATGTGATCAAATGGGTAGCATTAATCAGCAGTGAGAAAAAGAACACACCTACTTTTTAAAAACAAAAAATGCACATGGCACAGGCAGTAAAAAACCCCTTCCTTTGAAAAAGTGCTGTTTTTGTTATTCCAGCTAATCAGTGCTAGTGCACCTGGATCCTGAATGTTTATGACAGTGACATACATCTGTTAAATGTTCAGAAATAATTAGACCTTGCTGAAGCAAAGCTAACGAATTCCCCTGGAACTCTGTGGCAAAATAAACAGATGAAAGGTATTAATAAACTTTAAAAAAAAAAAAAAAAAACCAAAACCAAAACAACAAAACCCACAAATGTTTTCTTCCAGCACTGATTAATACTTTGTATAGCAATGTGTAGTCCAAGATTTTCTGTCCTTACCACTGCAATTTACCCATTTGCAACACTGCAAAATCCACACATTAACAAGTCATGCAGTTTCATTTTACCTTTGCCTGCACCTACAGCAGGACGAAGAATACCAGCTTTAATGGAGGAAAACAAGAATAGGAACACTATATAATTAGATACAACACCAAAAGGAACATACATATATAATTTCATTATAAGTCAGAAAAGCATGCAGACTAGATAAAATGTATTAATTGAAATAAATAAGAAACAATCCACTTATGCTGAACATTGATAGACCATTACAAGACAAAAATTAATACACATGCATTTACAAAATTTTATTGCTCATGCCTGTCAAGATTAATGATTTAAAATAAATGTAGTTTATATGCAACCTTAATACACTATTAGAGAAACTGCATTGCATACCAACTCATCTACAGCAATTCAAATAAACTATAATTTTATTAAGCACAAAAATATGTGAAAAGATGGTATCAAAATAGACTTTTAATAGTAAGATGTGCAAAATCGTAAAATACTTCCCTCTCAAATTTCCCCTTTGCTTTAAATTACTTTCTTATGCTTTTATATTTAAATAAATAACATATTCAACAGAAGAACTGCCAAAATCAGAGATCCAGAATGGCCATAAACATAAAAATCAATAATGACAGGATTGAACAATATACTTAAGCTTTTAAATATCATACAATGTCACCAGTTACTCGGGGCCACAGATTACTAATTTATTTCTGCAGCTTTTTTGAAGTTACAGTTTTTACCAGCTCTGTGAAAAAAGTTTAGACCTCACAGAAGCTGTTGCATGCTTCGGAAGACAAATAATTTCCTCCACCACAAAGCTGCACCATTTCAGTATTGTTCTCTGTGACCAGAGCAGGTCAGTGAAGCAGAATAGGTGAATGGAGGAAGACCACTTGAAGTGTAAAGTTACACAAAACTTTGAAGCACAGAGAAGCCAAAGTCTTAGAACTTGTAAGTTTATATCAAAAGGGTAGGCTTTACACTTCTTTCAGGGCTTCTACTACACTAGAAAACCTTCACACATCTTTTCTTAAAAACTGTTTAAAATCTTTTATCAGTGTATGAAACAGCTAAGAAAGCTCTAGGAAAAAAAAAAAATACTAGGGGCTATTTCCTTAATGGAAGGAAGTAGTAGTAAAATTTTTAATAATATTTGTAGTGGTTTTTAAACTCAGTCGTTTTTCTTTATACATACCCATCTTACCTTCATCCATAATTGTTACTGCTTCCTCAGTTATCTGACTTCCTGATCCAACTGAAGTTTGTGCATTAAAGTAAAACTTGTACCGTGTGCTGTAATTTAAATTTTTTAATATCAAGCTGCTCTCATTGGCAGGAATTCTTATCTCTACCAAGGGACCCAATTCATGTGTGTTGTTAACTGTTACAAGAAAAAAAAAAGGAAAGAGCTAGTTAGGAAAATTGTCTACATTATCGGTGTATTAAAACAGGCTTTTTTGTTTGTATTTATTTGTTTTGTTTGTCTGCTGCATTGTTCATTTCAGGTTATATGAATGACAATCTATAGTTTCAAAAGAAAAGTCACCTTTGTGTAAACAGAATCTATGTGAAGTGCCAAAATTCAACGGAGATGGGAAACACCTACAAGTTTTTTAAGTTCAAGATCCATTCCTGTACATATCTGAATCCAAGGCAACTAAGTCCACATCAAATCATCTGAATTTACACACATTTTAAACACTGATCGTTAAAAAATTCTGAAACTCTAAACTAGCTGCCTCATAATAAAATCAGTATGCTTAGGAAAAAAAATACTGAAGTGACTTGTATCTAATGCCAAGGAACAGTGGAAGTTGGTAAGTGGATGAAAACAAACTTCCTTAATCTGTTACATACACACGAAACTCTTTAATTTCCCGTGTCACTGCTGACAAATTTCTGGGCCAGGAGGCAGTGCCATGGGGATCCTAAGGAAGTGATTTTAGCTCTGATATGAGTAAATGGTGCACTTGTGAATTTTTCATTTTAAAATTAAAATACCATGAAAATTGAAGCAGACAACAATATAATTGGATCTATTTTGATCTACTTCTAATGATATTTTCTCTGCAGTTAGAATATAGGATTTGTAAGTCATAGCATCTTGCTTGTAACTTGGCTGTCAATTATATGTAGGACTTTACCTCAATTTTTCTGTTAAGCATGGTTTGAAGAAAGAAAAGTAATGGAAAAATTATAACCTTGTACTTGAGCAAGAGAAGTTTTCCAAATAGAGTCGTCTATGTTGTCAAAATACACGAATCTTTTTCAAACTTGACATCTACAGTGTAATCATATCTTTTCTACATTATAAATTTAGCATAACTTTTTCTTAATAAATGGATTGCTATTTGGTATACATACTGGCTAAGTTAGAGTTATATATTCATAATTAACTTACTTGGCTGAAACTTCAGTATATAGGATGTCAAAACACCATTTGGATGGGTAGGTAAACCCCACTCCAGAGTCAGAGAGTCCAATGTTGGGTTAGTAATCTTCAAAAAAGAGGGTGAGCTAGGAACTTTTAAGAAGAATATACCATAAATACAAAGCAGATTAACTTTAAACAGCTCATAAATTATGAATTCTTAAGAATACTACTGTATTGAGCCAGATTATTATTTTATGATGTTCAAGTTGCAAATTCAGCAATTAGACCCTGTGCTGGTTTTGGCTGGGACAGAGTTAATTTTCTTCACAGTAGCTAGTATGGGGCTATGTTTTGGATCTGTGCTGAAAACAGTGTTGATAACACAGTGCCAAGGCCTTTTCTGCCCCTCACCCCACCCCACCAGCGAGCAGGCTGGGGTGCACAAGGAGCTGGGAGGGGGCACAGCCGGGACAACTGACCCCAACTGCCCAAAGGGATATTCCAGAGCACGTAACTTCACGCTCAGCATATAAAGCTGGGGGAAGAAGAAGGAAGAGGTGACTTTCGAGGTGATGGTGTTTGTCTTCCCAAATCACTGTGACATGTGCTGGAGCCCAGATGTCCTGGAGGTGGCTCCTGCCTGCCCATAGGAAGTGGTGAATGAACTCCTTGTTTTGCTTTGCGTGAGTGCACGGCTTTGGCTTTACCTGTTAAACTGTCCTTACCTCGACCCACGAGTTTTCTGATTTTTACCTGTCTGATTCTCTACTCTAGCCTACTTGTGGGGGAGAGTGAGTGAGCAGCTGTGGGGTGCTTAGTTGCCTGGGTTAAACCCCAGTTGGCTGGAATTAAACCATGACACACCCTTAGTGTTCTGTTTCCGAATATACCAGATTTAAGTTTATTCTCTAGCTTTCTTATTTCATACCTCCTTCCGGGGTCTTAAATACTTTGTCTGGGCTTGCTGGTCCTTCTCCTTTACCATTAACAACTCTAACATTCAGCTTGTAAGAACTATAGGGCTCCAGCCCTGGCAACATTCCAAAAGTCTTGTTTCCCCTGAAAGTCAAGATCTTTTTTTCTACATGCCGCCTACTCCTTCTGGATAAACTCTGTGCCTTCCAGTAGTAAACCTAAAGACAAAAGAAAATCTACAGTGGGTATTCAGGTGTTGTAATTTTACAAACGTTAAGCTTTTACACAAGTATCCATGAATTACAGGTAAGAATAACTGCAATTTTAATAAGCTTAGGTGAGACACAGCATAGAGCTTTCCTGCTCCAGTAACAGACCTTGTCTGGAAACAGTGAGGTCCACACAACTGGATGAAGACTATCACCTGCCAGTTCCCCTAATTCTCAAAGCCAGTTTGACACAAGTTCTGTTTTGGAACTGCATTAGGATGTGATGGTTCTCATGTCATCAAGTCCATCTGAGAGTCAGGACTCATTCATACCATCCATCCTTTCAGTAAGGTGTCTACACAGCTTCCAGAGCAGACTTGCGTTTTGCCACCTTGTGTCATACACCTGACCGTTCTATTCCCTGTGATGTGGAAGCCAAGGAGATATTTTCAAATGGGAAAAAAACAAAAAGATTTGTCTGGGATGGAAAAACACACAAGTTCTGAAAGAACTCTGAAGTTACAGTCATGGAATGATATCCATCTAGGGACAGGAAGACTATTTCTCCCTTTATGTAACCATCAGATCAGACCACAAAGCTGATTCCGGTGTCCACTTTGCTGACTGAGTTTTTAAGAAACTACAGATAAGCATCAGAATTACCTTGACTGCACTCTCCTTACTACACAGTCTCTCTGCCATGATATCTGGAAAGATATTAACAGCTGTCTCTACAAAGACTTGTGTCACTCCTAGGAGTGTCACCTTCAAATACATAATTGCTCATTTTTCACAGCCTAATTTTCATGCATGTATGATCACACACTAAAACTGAACTAAATTCACATGAATTCAAAAAAGAGAACTGTTAAGACTTACAAAGCCCAGATAGATCTCTGATAAAGCAATGTTACACTAACACCAGCTTTCTATTGCTAACAGACCATTTCACTCTAATCACTGTTAAATGCAACTGTGTTTTACATGGCTTGAGTTAATGTTTTTCAATACCACCAGCTGTCATCCTGTAGCTCTCATTCTACCAACTAGCGTAGAAAGTGATTTAGAAGCTAGCAAAAGCTTGAAGTGTTGATACTATTAGTACCGAAACTCATAAGGTATAGTTCATGATATTTTAAGAACTGTTAGCTAGTAACATTTCACAAAACACATTATTATAGTTGGGTCATCACTTGTCACTAGCCAGACTGAAATTACAAGAGAGCTTTAATACGCTGGGTTTGATGAGCAGTGATATGGAAGTGGAATATGACAGTAAAAGAGACTGCATCATGTTTTTCACATACTGTATGGAATAACCACTGAATTCATAAGAATAAGAGGAAAAAATGGCAGCAGTAACAGTGAAAATAATTATTTTTAGAATTCTTTCTTAGGTTTGAAATGCTTTACAGTACCACAGTATATCAAGTATATCAAGGGTGAGAACTTAACACCCATGTATGACAGAAGTTTGTGTCTATGGATTTTTTTGTATTACTGATGATCTTTAACAGAAATTTGGTGATCTGGATTATGAGCGTTAGTGCTGCTGTAACTCGATTAATAATAAGCATTAACTTCACTAAATTCTAACTCTTTAATCCTCACAAAATGGACGTTTTCTTTTGGTTGCCCATTTGTGTGTGTGAAATACCAGGCTAATGAGACTGTCATCTAACAGATAAACATTCAACAGATTAGTAAATGCTGTTTCTCAGCCAAGTTTATTAGCTAGGGTAAAGCACCACATTAACTACAGATACTTATGCTAGCTCATCCAGAACTAGCTTAAGTCTGTCTAGATGGTGGTATTTCGTGCCACGTAAGTGACATCCACATACCAAGAACTCACACTCATGTGGTCATCAGCTGTAACGCACCAAAGTTCAATTTCAATGCTCTTGAATGCTAGTTCTCCATTTTATAAGTATGATGTACATTTATTCTCCTCCAAATATTCTTTACTCTTTTAATTTTTCAAGTATTTCTTTTTCCTCCTTTCATTTAAACAGTAGTTCAAATTAGTCTGTCTTCCGAAATAAGCTAGTTTGGGCTGTGTAACTAGTCTGTTTTGTCAGAACATATTTATTAGTATAATTGCAGAGAAGCAAAGCAGTAATTATTTTTTATTTCTTCTGTAGGAGGTCAGTATATCCTCTCATTCCGCTCTTCCCTCCACAACCAGTCTACCACGCTTCTCCAGTTTCCACTCTTGAGTTTCCTATGATGGGCTTCTTCTACTGCAACCTCTGAAGCAACTTTTGCCATCAGATTTTCCCTGTCCTCCACCAGTTCCCCTGGTTTCTAACCATGAAGTCCTTCTGTCTCCCATTCTCTATTAATTGCAGTCTTTTGTCACCAACACAGCTTTCTCAGTTATCATCAAAGCCAGCACATTATCTTACACTAAGGTTCCTTCAATTATATGTACACTCCAAATCTGCCATTTCCAATCTCCTTAAATTGAGCTTTTAAACTGCGCTTTTTCCTGGCGTCCAAAAAGACACAGCACCCAGCATAAGCTAGCAAGTGGTCAGTTACTCAAAATTAAAGATGTGATAAATCATATTATGGCAGAAAATGAGTAATCTTAGCATTAGACCTAGAAGGGACTCCTACAGAAACTATTTCTCCTCATCCTCTAAATATCCTTTTGGAATAAGGTCTGTAAAACTATTATAATTTTTTAAAATCTATATAATGTGTGCAAACTTAATTGTGAACAAATTCTATTTTTCTTCAAGGACAACGTCATAGGAAGTTAGTGCTAAAAGGCTGGGACATTGATGAACTTTAAATTAATTGTATCAGTGCTGTTACTCTTGTCAGCAAAACTTGTGAGCTCACTAAAAAGCAAGACTCCTCTTATATGTCAGTTATTTCAATCTGGATACAATTTCATACAGGAAGAGTGATCTATTTTAATAAATAAGAAACATAATGCTTTTGACTATACTCACTTTGTACCCTTGAAGGTGTCCTCGCACAGATTTTAGTGGAACTGGGTCCCAATGCACCTTTGCTAATGTGCTGTTAATAACATGAACCTGCACGTTGCCCGGAGCAACCATTGGCACTGTGTGGAAAGGATGCAACAAGTACCTAGTTACAATGAGAAACCACATGGACATACTCACTCAGAACGAATATTTGCATTGCACTCAAGGAGTAGGTTCCTATGTTAAAAAGCTGACCTCAGGATTAAAACTAGAGTATTATGAAGCCTTATTATCTCCAAATTACTTAATTTTAATAAAAAAACCCCTACTATCCCGCTTTTCCAATATTTTAGTATTTTAAATATCCATTTAGCTTATAAATTTAGTTACTTGTAATTAGTACAATTGAGTCAAACCACAAAACTTACAGTCTTCGCCTGAATGTCCAATCACCTCTGATGGCTCTGGTGCATATCCCAGGTCATTCAAAGCTTGTACTTTTATTTCATAGGGAACAAAAGTTGGTGTACCAGACACAATATATTTAGACACATTTGCAACTATAACAGATGTCCATTCATCATCAACATCCTTCTGACGCCAGCTGACTTTGTACTGAAGCCCAGGTCCATTAGACTGAAAACCTTTTAAAGACTGAAATGAAAAGAAATATCTTAAAAAATATTATGAAGCATCTGAAAAATCCAAAGTAACAAAGGAAATATACTGATTCTTCTTTAGAATTTTACTGAAAATTTACCACTGTGTTCTGTGACAGAGAAGCACTGTTGAAATTTCCGAGCTATGCAATTTAGCATCTTACAGTAGGTCAGTTCAGTTGCTTTTCATTCATTAATAAAAATCACACTGAATGGTGATCTTAGCTAATTCTCATGCAACCATACACTGTGATTTCTGTACACATATTTTATTTTAAAATATTTCTTAAGAAGTGGAAGAGGGAAAAACAGACTTACACCAACTCCCTATAAACAATGTTTCCTAGACAATGTTTCTTGCCTGCGATGGGAAATTGTTTTTACATGGCTCTCCTTGAGCTCCATGTCATGACAGTAAGGACATGATAGAAGGTTTCCACAAAAGTTTTTTAGTGGAAGAGTGCACAATAATTCAGTTTAGCACAGAAGTGGATGGTAGAATTAGGATTCACATTAGAATTCATGCTAAAAATAAGACTCTACTTGAGATAAACCTCAATTTACATTTTTAAGTTTTCCTAAATTTGCAGCAAAACATCTTGTATTACCAAATTAATTGCTTATCTTGAGAAATCACTCAAGGAAAATACGGCACCTTAATTTTAATTGTGGGTTTTTTTTTTTTTTCCATAATGCATGCAGTGTTTCCCTGAAAATGAAGACAGGGAAGTGTCTGGATTTCACTCTTTTTCAAGAATGTTTTAAGCAAGCAACGCATTGGGCGTTCTCATAGCATGTTTAGTTAGATCATTATTATTTCTCAAAAAAAAAAAAAAAGCTACTTACAGACCTGAAAACAAACAAATGAAACCTCGAATAAACAAACTTACCTCCCATGTTATTACCAAATTATCAGGTTCTGAGCCTATCCCTTGTACATTAGAAGGATTTTCATCAGGGTCTAAAAATAAAATATTTACATGTAAACAAGAATGACTGCTGTTTGTATTCCAAGCAAATTCAATGCCATTCATAGTATAAAGCAATCACTGGTAAGCAGGAATAGTTATTTACTTGCAGATTTTGTCAGGTACTGCTCAGATGGTTCACTGGGTTGACTTCTGCCAATCTCATTGACAGCTATCACACGGAATGAGTAGTTGACGTATGGAGATAACTTCAGCTGTACTGTTGTCTGAGTTCCAGGAACTTCCGTCTGGTAATGCCATACCCCTGGTTCATGCAGCCCATCCTCATATTCAATCACAAAGTCTGTAAACAGAAATTGACTCCAACTTTATGTCAAAACTTGCAATGCCTTCCTAGATCAGTGTAGGCATTTCTGAATGAGCTAGTCAGAAGGAAGTGGTCCAGTCAACATTTTTAAAAATCATGGAAATTGAAATGTAAGTACATAACCCAGAACACAGATCTATAATGTGAATCTCAAAAGTACTGCCTAGGTAGAAATATAATAGAAACACTCTTACTTTTACTATTTGGTATTCTCACTAATGCAGGTACCTGTCAGGTGACATGTTATTACAAGAGCTCTCTCTCAGCTACCGGATTTTAACGTAACAGGAAACCTTGAACTATCACAGCAAGGAAGTAGGACAAGACTGGAATTTTGATGTAAAAGTAGTATTTGGCTGACAAATACATTGGTCTTAGTTGTATCCAGCTGACAGTAAGTAGTACCTGTACAGTATTAAAACTCTCTGAGTATTCCATTTCCCCCAGTGAGATTGGCCTAGTGAAGAACTTTTTAAAGTCAAGAACCAATACTTGAGGAAGGTTTTCAAGAGCACTTTTCAGTATCTTCAAATTAAGTCAAGGAATGTATGCTAAATTTCTTGAGAGTTCTCTGTATGAACATTACAATGATTACTGTTAAGACCCTACAGAGTATATAACCTCAGGGATACACAGGTTTGTAGAATTCCAAAAAGAAAATTGTATTCATTATCAAAGGCAAAAGGACATTTTTTTCAGCTGCGAACCAGCCAAAAAAGCTTCCTGCTTTTAGGTACAAAAGAGAAATTTTGAAACATTTAAGAGGAATTGTTAGGATAAAGTACATAAGTCAGACAAGAACGTGTATTCTGAGTACATTTCATCATAGATGAGGACAAGAGGCCAGAATAGGACTCCCAACACACCCTGCTTGCGCTAGTAAAGAAATTCTGAGGGGCACCTAGAAATTGTTTTTAGAAGAATGCTTACAGTACAACATAGAAATAATGCACAACAGTTTGAGGAGTCAAGATGTTCAAGAAGTAAAATAGATAAGTAGTACTAATCATACCCTTCTGGACTTAAGGCATGCAGATTTCCTCCTGACATGAGTAATAAGAAAGAGGGAGATCTGCTCCCAAATTACTGCATGAGTTATAGCTGGTATTGTGTGCTCAGAGATAAAGGTCTTGGGATGGAATATTTTCTGGACCAAAGTCTTTGCTGAAAAATTGAGAATATTGCATGGCATAAAAAAAACACCCACAAAATTTTCACTACTGCTTTTTGCTTCCCTAGTAACTAGCATTCTGCCTGAAACTCTTGTAGAACAATTTATATGAGACTTCAAGGAAAAAAAAATCTATTTGAGCTTTCAAAGAGATTCTAGCATGCCAGTCATATTATTTGTGTAAAAGGATCACTCATAATGAAGTGCTATTCTCGAGTCTTGATCCGCACTTTGAAATGACAGCAGCAGCAGCAGCGATAATGGGCTTACTTATGAAGCAAATGCCGTATTTTGCAGGCTCTCAGGGGACCACACAGCAATATAAATTATATCATAATTAAAACCAGCATTATTTAGTCAGGAGAGTTCAATTTCCAATATCAGAGTGTATGCAATAACTTGCTTCTAGAAAAACTCTGACATGAGGCAACACCATCTAGTATCATCTCTTTTGAAACACTGTGATCTCATTCCTATAGAAAAGCAAGACTTGGATCTTCTGGTCTGGAAAAAAATGAAAATACTGATACAAGAGTATATGAATAAGCCATAACTCTAATAGAATTAAATTATTTGCATTAAACTTCTATATATTACTTTTTAAAAAGTATATTACTAGTCGATATACATTAGATAAGTCTGAAAGTGTAAAACATCAGCAAAATCCCTTGGTGTTTCAATAAAATGCAGTAAGAATCCCTGATGTGTTCTGAAATCTGTGAAATTCTGTTTCTACTAAAATTCTTTTCCAGATGCCTGATCCTTATGGTTTGTGTTCAATATTGTTACTGACCACCATCAGACTCTGGAGAGCAACACTTGATAAATCAGCCTAGTTCATTCATTCATTCCAAATATAACATGTACACTGGTCTTGGTAACTTGTGGCAGTTATTAACTAAAAATATAATGCATAAATAATTAAATAATTACATTAAGTTGCTCACAATGAAAAAGTTGCCCCAGCAAATCTTTCTGATCCTATAATTTTTTGGAAAACAAACAGTAATATCCTTATTCCTAAATTCCCCCTCCATCCTCTCTGCTCAATATAAGCAAGAGTATCTTTCATCATGTTCTACTGGGAGAAACAATGGCATTTAAGATCAATTTCCTGTCTCAAAAGTTTATAGATGTTTATTTTCTCTGTCTTATGGACATGCTTTATTCCTTCAACTGTCGGGACTAGAAAAAACCAGAAAAACTATCTGCCTTATATTTTCATGAAATATAAGCTTCTGTTATCAGTAGTGATGAATAATCCCTAAAGATATTGGTACTGATGCTATTTCAAAATTCATGGGAATTACAAAAGAGTTAATGCAAGATATTAGAAGCTCTCCCCTTCAGAAGCTTACAACTAATGAACATGTCTACTCTCTACATATTCATAAGACTGGACCTTGTCAGATAGGGCTCATATCAGTATCAAATTCTGTGTTAACTAACACAGGTTTTTGGATCAAAAGCCCCCTTTAGGGCAGTAAATAAGTCTTTCTGCTTGGCTGTACAGTAGATGACATCCAGTGAATTTCTGTTATGTAAATAAATGGCAACTGTAGCAAATTATTTTACCTTCTTCCAAGGTGCACACAATATTTATCTCAGAACTCTTCGGAATCTGAAAGCAATTAGTGTAGTACAATATATACAAACATACTTGTAATGGGACTGTTATTTTCGTCTCCTGGTATCCATGAGAGTTCAACGCTTCTTTCCAGCTGACCTGTCAATTCCAAGTCAAAGGGTGGATTTGGCCGAGCTGTAAATCAAATGAACACAAAGTAAATAATCACAGCAGAATATGTAGTTTCATCTTCGAAAAAATCCTTGAATTCCAATAAAAAGAATTCCACAAATACAGCAGGGCAGATCTACTCACTTACATAAGCATGACTTAACGACCATTAGCATGCAATTGTTACAAAACAGAGATAAAATGGAGAACTGATGTATCTGGAAACTTCTATACATTAACAAGAATCTATATTTGATTTAATCTACGTCTGTTTGCACTGCGATATAAAAATGTAATGAGATGCAAAGAGTCATGAAAAGCATGTTTAGCTTTGAATGATTATGGGTGGTTATCTATTGTAACTAGAAATATTTAATAAAGCATGGAAAATAAAGGAGCATTCACATCAAAGAAGCTTTTGTAGAATCACTACAAATATTTTGCATGTGAATTCAAAACAAGTATAGTTCAAATAGAAATTAATTGCAAGTTACTGTCATTTATTTTTCGCCATACTTTTAAAAAATCCTGAAATACCATGCAAGCTGTTAATATACATCCTTGTAGTGCATAAAGATGTCTGAAAATAATGCACTATGTGATTTGTTACATAAAAATCAAGACTAATGAGTAGGCTCATTTAGAATACATAAGTATTTTCACTGAATGTAATAGGATTTATATAAAAGTGCTTAAGATGCTCGTACTTACAAGTGTCTTAGGCATATTATATTGCATTTTAAAACCCAAATTCGGAAAAATGCTACCAAATTAAAGGCTGTATACTGTAAAATTTAAGACTGTACCTGACTGACAGGTTTTGGGGGGAATTTCATCTTCAATTTTAAAATCCTTATTAACAATTTCATCAATCATAAACCAAACTGATATGGTCCTATCCACTTTATGAGCTAATTAAAATTATGACAAACTATGCAATGAAGTACAGCAGGCCTACAAAGCTGTCATCAAAAGCAATGTAAAAAAAATCCCATCATTTGGTTCGTGCAAGTGAATAGTGAATTAGCTTTCAATGAACCGTTGGATTTACCTTTTAGATCTTTCATTTATTATATTAATTTGCATTATAGTGTTCTCTGTGAGAAAAACATTCTAACACTGTAACCAATCTTAATGAAAGATAATTTATCTCTGAAAATCATTTATTTCCTAAAATACAAAGCAGCCTGCACTGTAAAATTCCGAAGTCCAGTACTCCAGTAATGAAGCAGTTGGTAAAATGGGATGAAACCACACACGCACACACAGAAGAAAAACGGAAAAAAAAAAAGAAAAGATGTTGCATTTTGCAATAGGCAAATGAGAAATATATATGGCAGATGATGTAGAAAGAGAACTTCATATTAGTTTACCGTAAATGATAGCTGGAGTTGGGGGAGCAGCTGAAAAGAACATTAATATAAAGGATTTGATCAGTTAGTAGCCAAAGAAACATAATATTGTAGGTAGTTAAAGACTAATTATTAGAGACAAAGAAAAGTTAACTTATTTAGAGTAAATGGTTGATTTTAAATAACACATTGATAATTTTGACTGAAAAGTTATATAAGTATTCTTGAATATTTCATAAATTTTTTGGATAAAGATAGATAAAATAAATAAAGTAAGCAATGTTATAAAAACTTATAAATAAGTACTAGGTGTTTGGTGTATGTCATTCCTGGATAGGCATAAGATTACAACACAGTTTTAAAACACAAGTATACTTGACTTTGAATCTCAGCTTGAACTCGGGTAAGAATCAGTCAGGACATCTACTTAAAAATTTCTTACAAATTGGGAGAAGGGGCAAAGTAATATATTTTACAACAACTTGCAATCATAGAAACTTAACAGACAACTGATTTCAAAATAAAATCCTTGAGAAGTCATACAACCAAGCATGCTCAGTCTTTCTGAAGCATAATTTAGCTGCAAAAGAGATTCCTGAGATAATATGTTCAAATACTCTGTAATATGTAATCTACTGTGTTAGCTCAGATGTGATCCAAATAAAAACCTATACAGCATGAGACTGAATGTGTCCTGTAGCTACTGGACCCTTCTGTAATTAGCTGATTCCAAGGCAAACTTTAGGATAAAACTACACTTTTTTAAAAATTAAACACATTTACAAATAGGTGACATTTCCTTTGTCCTGTCCTAAAAAGCATAACTACGTTTGTGCTTTTCATTTTAAATCTAATGCCGTTTACATACTTAACAGTAATTAAACACAGTTCTGCTATCATAAAGTTTGAGAGTATTCTTACCAACAACAGTAAGCACAGCACTTGCTGAAACACTGTCCAGAGTAGTATTAACTATGCAAGTGTATGTTCCATCATCTTTATCAGTTACATTCATAATGGTCAAGTTGTCTTTACCAACTAGAAACCTGCAAATACAATACATTCAGCCACTGATTTTTCAATAACTGGTACTGTTATAAAAAACTTGCATGAGACATTACCAAATCCCATATACTTGTGTATTCCAGCAAATACCTAGACAGCAATGTAAGCTGTGGGACTCTGTCAGCCTTTTCTACACTGTTCTTGACCATCTTCCCACTGCAACTGTCTATCCTAATGCATTTTTATTTCCAAATATACTCAAACAACTTTTAATTATCTGTGATCTAGAGCAAAATAGTCTTCCATAATATGTTTGGTTTCTTATGCCAAATATATTCTCCTTACAACTGATACACATGGTCTGTGTGTACAATTACAAATTTTTACATCTCATTTTATTTTAAATTCTATCTTAATATTTTCACCATAATATGTAAGTCCTTTAGTCACCAAATATGGGTTAGTAATGATATTTATCAATCGTCTTTGGAAAATGTCAATAGGTCAATACATTCCTTTCAAAGATCAGGAAAAGAAGCAGACAAAAGAAACTAGAAAGTTATATAGAAAGGAAAATTATTTTGTCTGTACCTTTCATCATCTGGCAGTTCATCATTGTCCTTCAACCATATAACTGTTGGTAATAAGGTAGAATCATGTTTTATTATACACTCAAATGACACTTGGCCATATCTCTGAATCACTTTGTATTCTGGTTGTTTAATTATCATTGTTGGATCTGAAATTTAAAATTACTATTAGATATTTAGAAAGTCTGAAATTCTATACCAACCTGTGATGAAAGAATGATTAATTTCTTACCTTTAACTTCCAATTGCACCTCATTTTGTACCTTTCCTAATTCATTTCTTGCTACACATGTGTATGTACCAGTACTATCCTTTTGAGCCACCGGAATTTCCAAGGTTCCATTATCATGGAAAACGTATTCATTTCCACGCAAGATGCTACCTTTCACTCCCTTAAACCTTTATACAAAAAGTAACATCATTATCCAACATCATAGTTAAATTCTGTCGTATTTTATTATCAGCAAATGCAAACTTGGGACTGCCACATTAGAAAATACAGACAATCACATAATGAAATTTGAACATTACTCTCTAGGGATAACTTAACTGTTGCTACTTCAAGTATATGTAATACTGCATTAGTGTGTTGTAATCAACATATATTTTAAAATACGCTATTTTTGAATTGTAAATAGAGTAAAAATAGTTTTAAAGCTTTAAATGTTTGTTTCTATAGATATAACTGGCACTTTTTACATAACTTAAGCACAACAACTACAGCTTACCATTCAATTTCAGGCTTAGGTGAACCAAAATAAGCGCAGTCTAGCAATGCAGGGCTATCTGCGATGACTTGATACAGTTTATTGGCAGGAGTTAGAACTCTTGGTGGTTCAGCTGAAAAGACAAAGATACCTGGATATAGATACAAAGATGCAAAAGCAAAATACCAAGACATTGAGAATGGCCTGAAGAACTGTATGTTAACATCCTTCTCTGAAGTGTTTTCTGGTCTCAGTCTAGAACTTTTGAGTTCTACTGCTAGTAGCCTGAGGAAACATTAAGGTAGGAGAATAATCTTGTGAAAAACAAATGCTTCTTCCCTGTTTACAAGTAATAGGGATAGGCATCAAAGGCAATGAATTCAACTGGAAAACTTAAATCAGAACATACTTCAATCTGTTTAGTAGCAGGAGACAACTGAATACTCAAGAAAACCAAGAAATATAAAATCTGTTACTTACCCAGAACATTCACAAATGCATTTGCTAGCAAGTATCCATATTCATTAGAAGCATTGCACTGATAGACAGCACTTGACCTTTCTTGTACACGTGAGAAAATAATGGTATCACCGTCTACCCTTCTGCTAGAATCTTCTGGGGCAACTGTTGGTGTAAGGAAAAAAAAATAATTGCTTTTCCATCTAACTGCTGTTGGATGATATGTTTCATACTTCTGAAAAGAAAAAACATTTTGAAAGACCAATATTCCCCTTCTATTTTCATGGGTGATTGTTCACTGGTTAAGATGTAAATTTCAATACAATTAAGGAAGTTCTTCCACTTCTACAAATATTTAATGCAGGATGGTAGAGTTCCCATTTTTGGAGGGTTTTTTTTTGCTTGTTTTTCAAAGAAGTGAAGCTGAGATCAAAATTTGAATGCAATACAGAGGAAAAATACTGATATGACAATATTCAGGCAAATACAGACAATAGAAAAATAAAGAAATGTTTCTGATTGTCAAAAGAAAATGCTGTTATAATGACACAGTCCTCTGTGACTTAAAAGTTTCAGCTTTTCAAATCGATTGCTATACCATAAATAATTATCCAAATATAAAAAAAGTCTTATTCAGTTGAAAACTATCTCAGAGTAAAGCATAAGCAATTCTTTCACACAAAATCAAGAAAGTCTTCACAAGAGCAGTGACAGTAATTCAGTAGGTGGCACTCTTTCCCTTATCTAAGAATTACACAGTGCCATTTCCTCAACTGTTCTGTAGTAGCCTGAGCTGTCAAACAGCTCATGCATCCTAGAAGAATCGAGAATATAACTGAAAATAAAATTCTAAGATATTACCAAAGAATAACAGCTGTCAGTTCTTATAAAACTGGATGGAATTAGAGAGGTACAATGGAGAAAAAACTTAGCTTGTAACACTGCACTGCATAAAAATGCACAAACTATAGTTTAATACTTTAAGAAAATACTAAATGAAAAGATATCAATGTGTTATTAATATTGAAACGTAACGATACAATTATTTATATACTAATATGAAAAATAAATGCATATATGCATAAATAAATGCATCACAGTTTGGTTGCATCATCAAAATTGACACTCTCATATTTTATTTGAGCTTGAGAAAATGAGTACATTTGTGGAAGACTTTCATATAAAATAATTTCTCATTTCTCTGGATTCATAGAAAAGATCAACTAACTAAACCAATGTCAATTTTCTGTAAGTGACAAAACCTTCTGATTCAGACAATACCTCAGTATTTATCTGTAAAGAAAATGGAGTAATTTCTCCTACATTTTGTCAAATCTACTGAAGTACCTATTGCTGAATTCTCTAAGAGAGTAGAAACCAGATGGAGGGGATCACAGTTCTTTGCTCCTGCTTAAGGGTGTTTCCGTCTTTGGTGAACTCTAAGGCCACTTTGCATGTAAAGTAACTACATCAATTTCCAAACATATACCTCAAGAACAGTTTTCAACTCTGTTTTTAACTCTTATCTTCCATCACTCTGAGTTCAAATCACAAATTCAAAAATTTTAGAAAGGAAGAAAAAAGTACAACTGGAATTTTAAATGCTTATTCTCTGGTCTTCTGGATTGCTGGCACTTATTTTTCTCCTCTTTTGCTTTACTTCCTATTGTGTTCCATGTTCCACATTGCTTGCTAGTCTATGTAAATGTCATTTTCATTAAAAGATTCATGGGCTGAAAATAGATGAGCAGGTGAGTAGCCCAGCAGGCAGGCCAGTCAGCTCTGAGAAGTGGTCTGTTTCTGCATACAAATCACTATTAAATGGAAAATATGCACAACCACCCTCCCAGGAGGCAGGAGATCTGCTCATGGCAGTTCTAATCATGACTGCTTCCTGCCCTGGGCTCTGGGCTTCCCTCAACTCATGCTCTCTGAATCCTGCAGCATTTTCTGCACATAGATAGTTCTTTAATGGGGGCACAGATTCCCCTCCTCACACCCATTCCCATCCATAATACCCTACAGGCTGATAGTAGGGCTCCTTCAGAGAGATGGAAACCATTAGTTCAATCCTCTATGACTGAAGAAGGAACTGGATCTTAAAAAGAATGATCTAACCATTAAATTATCATATAAAGAGAAAGACTGCATCTTCCCTTCCCACGGCTGTGTTTAAGGAAAAAAAAGAGATACCCTTCTTCAGTTATTTGAAGGAAAGGACGTAGGTGTCTGTTCTCAGAAAAGGTCTTCAAGCTGTAGGTCCCAAGAGGAAGAAAAAAACAAAGTGAGGAAAGTGTCAGGTTAGTCGGTGCTTCCTTTTGACTGGTCTAGCCACCTGATTGCTGAAGGGCACCAATTTTAGAAAGCTCCCTGTTGAGACTGGCACCTATTCAACAGTCTGTCTTCTGACGTGCCTCATCCTCCCACGCAACACCAACAGAACCCACACGCCTTTGCCCATGTACTACACTGTGTTTTGCAGAGCCAGGCCCTAAAAGTTAGATGCTGTATCATCTACCTGCTTTAATGATCTTAAGCGCACACTGCTGCACTCACACACACAGAATCAGTGAGGCTGGAAGGGACCTCTGGAGGTCATTTGGTCTAACCCCCTGCTCAAGCAGGGCCATGTAGAGCCAGTGGTCCAGGACGCTGTCCAGACGGGGGAAGGATTACTTCCCTCGACCTGCTGGCAATATATCTGTCTAATGTAGGCCAGAATAACATTAGCCTCTTTGCCACAGGGGCATATTGCTGGCTCCACCAGGATGCCCAAGTCCTTTTCTGCTAAGCTACTCTTCAGCTGGGTGGCCCTGGCATGTAATGGTGCATGGGGTTGTTCCTCCCCAGGTGCAGGACTTTGCACTTCTCCTTGCTGAACTTCATGAGGTTTTTGTCAGCCCCTTTCTCCAGCCTGTCGAGGACCCTCTGGATGATAAGAAGACCCTCTGGTGTACCATCCATTTCTCCCAGTTTTGTGCCATCAGCAAACTTGCTGCAGCTACACTCTGCCTCACCATCCAGATCATTAATGAAGATTTTGAACAGGACTGGATCCACTATTGATCCCTGGGGTACACCACTAGCCACTGGCCTCCAACTAGACATTGCACTGCTGATCACCACCATCTGTGCCTGGCTGTTCACTCTCAGTCCACCCTGCTGTCTGCTCATCCAGTCCGTGTACACATGAACACCTTGTCTATGAGGATCTTACTGGTCAAAAAGCCTTACTGAAGTCCAGGTAGACAATATTCACTGCTCTTCCCTTGTCTACCAGGCCAGTCTTTTCATCGTAGAAGTTTCTCAAGTTGGTCAAACATGAATTCCCATTGTTGAAGCCATTCTAATTACTCCTGAAGGTCCCTGATTCCTGAAGGTCAGTCTTGCTAGTAAAAACTGAGGCAAATGTGGCACACAGTAGTTCAGCCCTCCCTATGTCCTTTTCTTCTTTTTCTGGGGAAAGAGAGCGATGGCAGAGCCACTCAAGCACTGCTTGTCTGCCTTCACAAGGATTCTGGACACATTACAGAACAGCTACAGAAAAAAGAGAAAATGCTTTTGACACATTTGACAAATCTGAATTTGGCACTGATAGGCAAAACAGCAAATAATTACATACAATCTGGATAATGAATGCTGAGGATTTGCTATAGGAGTTCTGATGCTGTAACAGACAGCTGAGCATGTGCCCTGTAACAGCCAACTTACTCCCAATAGCATCAAGTTTCAGCTGATGAATGTGCTTATGTCATTTCTGGACAAAGACCTGATTCCCCAGTTTCACCCAATTTTTTCTATCACTTTGTATCCTAAGACAGCTTCTTGACTATAGCCATGTACAGCATATTCCTGTAGAGAGAAGGTATTGCCTCCATCAGATACTTTTCTCATAGTTAGTCATCAGCACCCTGAATATCTTCTGTTCATCAGCACGCACGGTTCCATCCGTTTAATGAATTTCAGACAGCCCAAGCAATTACTTCTGTTAGTATTTTTAAATAACCACTATGGCACCATTATTACTATTTTTCCTGGAAAAAAAAGACAGAATGAAATGTGTTCTCTGAACAGAAGCAGTTAAAACACACTATTATGCCTAAAACTGGAAGGAAAAAAATCCAGATTTTATTGAGATGTTTTACCCTTTTCTGTTGAACTATTTCACTTTCCTGATCAATTTTAATTTCCGGTCAATGTGCATTTATGCAAATTCATGAAGCAAAACACAATGAAGAACAGAACAGCTGTCAACTGATGATGAAGTATAAAATGTAATGCTAGCAGTCCAAATAAATGATACAAACTTTACCCTGATCTGGAAGAAAGATATGTATTTTGGACAGAAAATTATTAAGACATTAAATTGGCCTACCAACTTTAAATTCTTTAGCTCAGTTCTTTAAGCTCTGTATAAAAGTGGGGAAAAAAAATTACATTGCTTGGAATCATGGGGTTTTTGAACTTAAGCATAAAAAAAATTTTTTATTGGGAGGGTGGTCAGACCCTGAAACAGGATGCCCAAGGAGGTGATGGAGTCTCTGTCCTTGGAGATAATCAAAGTCTTTCTGGACACAGTCCTGACCAACCAGACACAGGTTAACACGTAAGCAGGCAGGTTGGATGAGATGTTCCGTTCACCCCCAACTATGCTGTGATACTGTGGTTTTAAAATAACCACCGTTTTGGAACTAGTTCACTGGGTTTTGAAAAGAATTCACTGGAAAGGAAGTATATACTTTTGATTGTGATTCTGTAATTTGTTATTGTGTGAAAAAGCTAATAATGTGAAAATCACAATTTCTAAAATCAGAGTTCCTTATATTGTTACCACATTCTGAAATACAGCAAAGTGAGTATGAGATCCAGATGACATCAGAAGCTCTCAGCTCAGCTAACTTAGACTCCAGGTCCCAGAGGGCACTGAACTAGGGTGTTTTTTGTTGTCTGAGAAGTATGCTATAACCTAAGGTAGTATATATTTTTTTCCAGAAGTATGTTGTGGGTTACAATCATAGTTTGTAGGATATGTGATTACTAACTATAGTGAAAATGCTGATGTCATCCTCAGATGTTGTACTAGAGATTCTTTCTGGCTGAAAACAAGCTGGAAAAGAAAGCGACAAAATTACTTGACTGCTTCTCCGTGTATCATGAAAACACAT